TCAATGTTTATTTGTTACTGATGAGCTCAACCTAAAAAAATAAGAAAAAGACAAGCACTTGTTAACAATTGAGGCTACTTAAAGACAGAAAAGTAGCATTTTAATTGTTTACTTTGGATGTTTTACTTATTTTATTATAGTAAAGGAGATTAACAAGACAGAAGACAAAAAACAAGAGAAACTTAAGTTTTTGAAGCCGCTAGCAAAGATGATCAGTTACCGTTTGCTATGAGACTGCAGAGCTAACCAGGTCAGCTTTAGCACTCAGCATTTTGGGTGTTCAGCGGGTCGGTCTTGCAAAAATAGACAGCGTAGCATAGCGTATGAGAGAAACAAATAGCTAATGCAACCATAGCCCACAAGAATTGTTCAGGCCTTGTTCTTGGGCCAGGTCTAACACCTTTGATGGACAAAATATTAGAGTTTGGTTGGGTTTGCAGAGGCTTCTGGGAGAACAGTCATTGCTCAGTGAGTCAAAAGGAGGTTTTGACTTGACCACAGCAATACTTAGACTGATTTTAAAAAATTATTAATGTGTCAAACACATCTCATGCAGTGCAAAGTATCTAGATTATTACTGTAGTTCTATAATGTCAGAAAAATTGTTTTGACACCAACTACCTAATTTCTCAGTAGGTACAACTGAGAAAGTACCTAAAGTGGATCAGCTATTTGAGAAAATATAATTTAACCAAAGCTAGAGGTTTGCCAACTTCCCTTTGTCACTGCACACACCATCATAGACTGACTGGAAAACTTACTTGGTGCTGGGGCCTTCCCAGTATTGAAACAACGGATAACAAGTTGACCTCAGCGAAGTTCAGAGTTTATTACTCTACAGTCCAGCATCACTGTTTGCTCTTTGAAGGCAGCTACATTGTATAAATGTATGAAAATGTATAAAGTATTATGTTTATTCAGTGTTTTGGGACACCACTCTCACTGTGCATTGCCCAGCATCAAACGGCACATTTGGCTTTTTAACCTTTTCCCTCTTCCTGACCGTAGCGACTCTAATTTCATAAGATCAGATCTGTGTTTCTGCAGCAACCTGCTGACTCTCTCCACAAACTGAGTCATCTCTGAAGCCATGTGAATCCTGTTTTGGATTTTTGATTACAGTGACAAAGATAGAGAGAAACTCAACAGTACCACTGAACAATTTGTGTTTTAGGGTTTTTTTTTTAAATATGCTAGCTATGTGTTTGAATGATGAGGAAGCCTTGTTTCACTGAATTATATTTCTGTATTAAAACTACTGTTGTAGGACAGTATTATCATACATTTTTCATTTTGTGTGCTTAAGTTAAAGCAAGAAATTCTTCCTCTTAAATATAATGCAAGTGAAAATGAGTTCACAGAGTGTCATGGGATGATGACCACTTTCTCTGGTTCTTAGTAGCATTTCTAATCATATCCTGACAAAATTTAAACAGCAAGCCGACTGTAAAATATCTTAACACCAACACATATTTAAATTGCAGCCATGACTATTTCTGTTGTATTGCACATTTACCGCTATTAGATAATTCAGAGTGTTGCATCATTAGATTGACGATACAACAAATAGTCAGAAATATTACATTGCAGTGGCAAAATAAGGAAAAATAACGGCAAGTTGAGAAACAGGCAACACTTTATGATGTTCCAGTTGTAATTCATTGAAGGCAGCTCTGAACAAAAGGAGTTTTAGTCTTGATTTAAAGGAACTTATTGTTTCAACGTTTTCTTTATCAGTTTTCTGGAAGTTGGTTCCAGATTAGTGGAGCATAAAAACTGAACTGAACCAAAAATCTCCATGTTTGGTTCTGATTTGCTTGATTGTTCTGTGATGTTTGATTTACATGATTTTGCTATGGAACAAAGTTTCATAATGAATAAAACTATTTGATTATAAAAGTATTTAAAAAAGGAAAAGACAAAGGAACATGCCATTCAAGTCAAGTAAATGTCTCAGGAAGGGCGTAGAAAATGTCACATAAAAAAAACTTTCTTTATTCAGTCGTCCATTACACATAGCTATAGCATATGTATGAACAAGTCCTGCAAGATTAAACTTTCAAAATTACAGTTGATTGATCCGAATGCTGTCATGCTTTTATTAGAAGTCAAAATGCCATATATGTAGATTTTCCTGTTTTAAGCTCGTCGTGTCACGTCTACGACTAACTTCCTCTTTTACACTAAAAATAAACCATTTCACATTTAAATGGTTATCGGAAATGCATGTTAATATTTAAATAAACAAAGTACTATAGTTTCATGTTCTGACATTAAAAAATATACATGAGTAATTAGTAAAGCCTCTCACTCTCTCTGGGAGAAAGGACAATAAAAGCAGAATAATCCTTTCCGGTTTTATGTCAGAATCACCAAAACTGATTCTTTTTGCTAAGCTTTCTTCAAAGTCTGCTGAGTTTTTGACACTAAAGTTGCTACGTCGTTAAACCCCAACTGATATCATGGCTTTGTAATTTTCTGACAACAATTGGGTTAGATGATGGAGCATTTTTGGATGTGTTTTAAGGCAACATCTTGCAGTTTCCTTGCATGACATTGATATTAAGAAAAATCTAAATAAATCAGCCAAGATAAAAGACAGAGACGCTCCACAGCTTTATTCTTGACAGCGTATTGTTTCCAGATGACTGAAGGCGCTACATTTATTCCGAGCAAAGAAAGCTTGCTGGGAATATCCAGCAAAGAAATATTTTTTTTAAGTGGACAGAGCTGTGAAATATGTGGTGAATGTTACCAAATGTTCTATATGTATGGATGGAAGGTTTTGTAGACAAGACTTCAGGTAAACAGCAAAAACAATATTTCAAATCAAAACAACCAAATCATGAGCAAATTTGGCCCATTTGTGACAATTCCTTGTTGATCTTTAGACACAAACTGTTGAAAAAACATATATGACTCCATTTTTGGCATTTCCAAACATACGTCTGACAAAGGGGTTTTTTTCATATGCACACTTTCCATGCACAGGTCCTCTTGAGCTCCTGGTTCCAACCATCGCCACATTGTGCTGGGATCCATAACTTTCCTTAACTGATTCGTCCCAGTGTCAGACCATCATCACTTTTTGAGTAGAGTACACAACTGTGAAGTAAAAGAGTGGCAGTGGGGTTTGTTTTCTCCACAAGGGACTGTTGCACTTGCATAATAAATGACATCATGTGGAAAGGACATTATGTAGAAATAATTATGCAACCTCTGAAAAACAAACTAAGTCTTGGATCCAAATGGTTCGAGGTGGACAATGAGATGTCAGTAGATTTGTTATAGTCAGTGTTTTGAAGGGATTGTGGGGATTTGAGCAAAAGATACACAAAACATTTGACTCAGGTCAGAAATTTTACAGGCAAATCTACACAAAATCTGACTTTGAGCGACATAATGTTCTCATTCTGGAGGCATTTAGTCATACAGGACAGGCAGTATATATAAATACATGGTTTTGACTCAGTATATGTTTGTTGGGTAACTTAGATTATCAAGAAATATAAATATTAGCCCTGGAGGACTTTGCAAATTAAACTGACTGTACTGAGATGGGATTGCATTGTATTTGCATTGTGTTCACTGAGACACATTTTAACCAAAGGTGCAACAACACAGCTGTGGCTTTAACATTTATTGAACTTGAGGTGTAATAATCAACTGCAAGCCTTTCTGTTGGGCCGATGCTCCGATGTTGAGAATAAGTCGGTGAGGCTGATCTGGAAACACTGAGGTAAGCAATGAGAGTCCTGTTACTTATCAGAATCCACTTGTTAAACTAGAAAGCTGAGAAAAGCTTCTTTTTGGTTGCTTAAACATGTTGCTGCTTGCTTAAGAGCCACTTCCTGAATAGAAGAGGCTAAAGTCTCAGAAGTGGAAATAGCCAAATATCATGTGCTTCAGAGATCTCAAAGGAAATCCATATTTAGATCTTCACACTAAAAATGTGATTTTTTTCTGGCAGAAACGAGGTTTCTCTCTGTTCTCTTTGACCTGAGAGTCATTTACACTGAATTGTGGCTGTAAAAGAAAGTTTCTTCTTTAATATAAATAAAAAGAATATTAGATGTTTGACAGGATATGGTGTGGATTCATATCATCCTGCCACCATGCAGAGCCTGGTGTAAACCCACAGCAGGATCAAGTAAAACTCTGTCAGCTCTGCTCCAATTATCTAAGCTCTAAAAAGGAGTCCCGTGTATTATTGCATTAAAAACGTATGAAAAGCCGCATTTCATCTGGATTCACGTCAGCTCACCACCCGGTGTGAGAGCCTCGCTCCCCGGAGAGTTTTTACTCCTCTTCTTCCCCTTTTATCCCCCATTTTCTTGTGTATGTAAACAGAAGTAAAGCATTTTAAGCTTCGGGGTAAAGCGTGATGATCAAACAGCTTGCACAATCAATGACTTTGAAGAGATCTGAAAGCGCTCATAAATGTAGCTATTTCACACAAAATGAGCAGCAGAAATGAAGATATTCCCTCCTGCAGCCAGTGGCCATCTGTTTTCTTTTTTTTGTCTGTCTCTTTGGAAGAAGAGCGGGAAATCAAAACATGGAGGAAAGTGTGCAAGCGGAAGGGCCGCAGCTTGCACAGCACGATGTTGGTGCATGAGCGAGCATCAATGGGCCTGTTAGCTGGTTCGTGAGGAGGAGTCAGTGAGAAGATCCAAAAGGTCTTCTGAGAAGTTTCACTACTTCAACCAATTTTATTTAAAGGAGCGACTGACAAAAACCCAAAGTCCTCAATCTGTACAGGATTTTCTTCTAATTTTCTATCTGCCACTTTACAGAAAACCAGCAAATGTTAGATTTAAGATATGCAAATTAGTAGCTGCTCCGTGAGCATGTATTTTATTTTTTTTCTGTAAGTTGAAGGGTTTTCACACTTAAGCAAAAGCAAGCGAAGATCAGACAAGAGATGGCTTCCTGTTCTTGGTGGCGTAGCTGAAATGAAACTTCCTGCCAAGGTGAAGGCAGGCTCTCACTTCGTGGTGTGACATCACTCCCGTTTGCTTCACTTGAAACCAGAAGCAAGGTTTAGGGTTTGGGGAACAAGTCCAGGAAGCTGCGTCTTCTGATGAGACAGATAAAGCGAATGTAGTTTGAAACAGATCAACGTTTAGGGGGTTTATATTAGAAATAGAGATTCGGTTTGGCGCCGGTTTGTTCTTCACCCTTTTTTGGACCCGGCTCGGCTTGAATCGTGGGTGCTCACACACACCCTTACACCCCGGACATGGCGGGTCTCCGAGGTCTGATGATCTTGCTGGTCTGATGGTTGGTTTGGCTCGCTGTAAGTACTCCAAAAAATATGATAAAAGTGAAGCTTTTTTATGAGCTGGTTGAAGGGGAAGTGATGCATTCAATGTCTTCTTGTGTCTCTACTGACAGTTTGTCTAAAAATGGTTTTCATTTAAAAAATACAAAAAAACATTGACGCGATGATGTCTAACCTCCTAAGTTAAGTTTCTGAACTTGCAGCAGATTGTTGTTTGGTGTGTGATGGTGTTTATGGTAAAAGGTGAATTATTTTTTTGGAGTGAGACATGAATCTGTCATCAGCTTTTCTTTCAAAAGAAGTGGAAAACACCAGCGAACAAAATGTAATCATTTAAACTGAGGGCAGAGATGACAAGCTACAGTATATCAAACCTTTGAGTTGCTTCTCTGCTTTTGTGCTGCTTCACCTCTCTTAAACTTTTCCAAACCCCACGAACGGCAGACAGTAGAGCCGCACATCTGTGAGATGTGAGGAGCTGAAAAGTGACAGGTTTTATCAGCCGCCTTTGGCAAAAGAATAAACACTGATGTTCAATCAAAGGCTGCAGTTAATAAGATGATGCTGCTTTAAACACGCCGTAAAAGCGAAGGGAATTTTTGCAATCATGTTTCTGTTCTGCTTTGACATTGTGTGTGTGTGATGGTTTGATCCCGCACTGTAACTGTGCGTGTGTGTGTGTGCGTGTGTGGGGGTGTGCGTGTGCCTGTGTGTGTGTGTGTGTGCGTGTGTGGGTGGGTGGAGGGCTGTGCATGTCTGTCAAAGTCGATAGATTTATTTTTTCTTATGGGGTGTGTCCCTGTGAGCTCTTCACTTCAACCTTTGTCATTGTCAGTGTTGGCGTAAGATAAACATCTATGTGCGTGTGTGTGTGGATGCATGTGTGTGTGTGGATGCATGTGTGTGTGTGGATGCATGTGTGTGCGTGGATGCATGCAGAAGGTGTGCAGGCTCACCTCATTGCCTGCAGCAGCACTCACAGTTCTGCTACCGTTCAACACATCACACGTCTTGTCTCCTATTTTAGGGAGACGTCTGTGCGCACAAGCTGAAATAAATGCTTCTTTTATTATCTTGCTCTCTTGTCGTTTTCTGCAGCCATGGTCAGAGTTTGTCACTTGTTTTTTGTTTTTTTTGTTTTTTTGCAAGCTGTGCAGTATTTTCAGCAACGTTGTATTAGTTGTGTCTTTATGAGCACCACAACAACAGACGTCTTTTTTTTTATGTAAATATTTCATTTTCCCTATTTAATAAATTAAAGTAAGAACAGCTGTTCTAAAGGATGAATAAAACATTTTCAGCTGATATTTAGTTTATTCTACTTCAGCCAAAGTTGGAACCTGAAATACTCATAAATATAAATTTAAAAACCTCCTTGTTCAGCTGTTTTTCTACTTTCACTTGATCATTTTTAAAGTTTCCCAACATTTTAATGAAGAGAGAAAAGGCCTTTCATTTCCTCAATGCTACCCGGCGAATGTGCGCCTCTTAACATGCATTTTGCAGTAGCTGCAGCGGGACGGAGCTGTGACCACTTCCTTGTTCCATTCTGGGCTGCCTTGACTTCCTGGCAGGGCTGGGCCGGGTCGAGCGCTTTGAGCTTTAGTTTTCGTGACAAAGAAATGGGAACTGTCTGAAAATGAAGAAGTGAGGTCAGAACTGTTGAACATAATTGAAGGCCTTTTCTGCAAGGAGACAAAAAAAGGCGTAACAAGAAAAAATAAATGCACACACAAACTGACAGTAACCAGAGATAGAAAAACATCCAGAACGTGAGAAACTCATCCGCACATTTCATTCAGGTTTTTGCAGAATGTCAAACTCAAATGACTAAATGAAATCCAGATGTTTGGTCATCTAGCTACTGTTACTTCAGATTTTGTTCTTCTTTTGTTTTCTTCATCTCCGAAATCTCACTTTAACAAAACGAAAGTGTGGAAATCACACATTTGTTTCACACTTTGGCCTACGGACAGTAGAACAGAGAGTACTCTAAAGGACAACAGAAACTTCAAGTTATGTTCTTGAAAACAGCTGAAATTAGTTGAAAAATAATGTTAAAGAGAGCAAGATGACAAGTTTTGAATATTTTTATAGTCTCAGCTTAGAGCTTTCCTGAGCGTTTGTACACATTTGGCCCTGATATGAGCCAATAATGATGGTCAGACACATTATAATTAAACAGAAAAAATATTTTACAATGACAAAAAAAAATAACTAATTATCCAAACTCTCTTAAACATCACTGAACGGTTAAACTAAAATAAAGAGACAGTTGTAATTCTGTTAGAAGGACAAATAAATGTGTAAATATTCAAAACCTACTCCATTATTAACACATTATTAGTGTTAATAATCATTATTATTACGTTGTTTTTACTTTAGCTTGGAATGTAACAAATAATCTTTTAATGAACAATTTAACAAATTATAAGTTTTTGTCATATTTTTCTAGATTTGTAGTAGAAAAATTACCCAAAAATGTTTTTGCAATAAATTATATAAACGTCTTATTTTTGGCTTCTCAAATAATGCTAACAGTAAATGATCATGGACTAAATCACTCATTTCTTCTAATCCGTTGGTAAACATCTGCTAGTCTTAGGGTTCAAAAGTCATCAGAGAAACTTCAGTTGGTACATTTTAGATTACGATAATGTAGTCGTGAGTTTGGCTGCGAATGACGCTTGTGAAGTAGAAATAATGGATTTTCAATACATCAGGAACCCACCACTCTCTCTTCTTATCAGTTGAAATTTTAAAATGTGGGTTTAAACTAAGATTTAAATTTTACCATCGCATTTCTTCTCACTGAAAGGATAATCAACATATTGAATCTGTAGAGAGAGCAAAAATATTAGGGTGATGGTCCTGAGGCCTTCCAACGTAAAAGACACTCATCTCCAATAATAAATAATAAAAACAGTGAAAACTTGTTAAAACCCAGTCAGTAATTATGATTAGGGTTTTATTGCTGAATTGCCAATCAAGAAAATATTTCACATTAATTAGAGGAGGGTATAAATATAAATAAATAGATAATTTTTTAATGAAATGTCAATAAATACAAATATTTATCTTTTAAATCAACACCACTCTTATGTTGTTTTATTTTTCTAATTTGCAGTTGGAATCAAAATGATTAAAGACAGAATTTCAAATAAAAGTCTGTTGCGATTATTAATAATTTTGTGTTTAATTGTAAATAAGGAGCAGAAGACAAAATTAAATTATGTATTTTATCATTTCTGCTTTGTTTTACTCAGTGCTGCGGTGATTCCTGATTCCTTTCATTGAATGAATTTAATAAATACTTTCAATCTTTTAATTATATTTTATCTTTCTAAAACAACAATTTGTTGGTTATTTTAATAAATCCTGTATAATTTGGTTTGTTTTTAAGACAAATTCAAATTTTTTAATATTTGTTGTTTATTTATCAAAGGCAATAAAGAGGAAACTGAGTTTCCAATAAATAAAATGGTAATGATACTTTGATGTTCCAGTAGTTACAAACTACTCTGTAGTTTTGTTGGGAAGTCAGTAAATGTTGGATCAAAATAAAGTTTTGAACACACATATTTTTCAACCTGGGCCACAGAAACAAATTTATACTTTTCATACATGTCATTTAGTTTTGTGCTGTTTACCTGTAGAATAATCAAATAGTTTAAAAAGTTAAAAATAATCAGTAGATGTATAATTCCCAAAAACCTAAAGATCTATTCTCCTTTTTATAACTCTTATGTATCTTTTTTTTTTGCATAAACCAAAACAGAATATAGGAAATTAGTTATAATCCAGTCATTTTAGATAAATTTTTCACTTGTTAAACTTATCAGAGAACTGATCAAAAGCTGCATAATCCTCGGTTCATCATTAACTAAAATTAACCATGAGGTTAAATCCTAATTTGTTTTTGCTAATCAATCAGTATTTTTCCTCCGACTATTTCTAATAATGAAGGTTTTGCATGTGAAACAGGCGCAGATCGACCTCTTCCCCACTAACTGAATCATTTCTCACCAGTGCTCTAATAAGTGACATACTGAGTCTGAACGAGGCGGTGAAATGTCACTGCAGAGAGCGTGCATCTCTGCTCAGCGCTGCGAAACAACAACGCACCAAACCACATCCTGACTCTCTTTGTCTGACAGACCCTGATCACATTGTTCATCACTTCTGTCAGGAGAAGAACCGAAGCACTGTGGGACGATTAAAACAGACTCTAAAATATTAGTTTTTACTCTTTTTAAATTGCATTTGAATAAGCATTTAAAAATAATAAACTCATCACCAGCAACAAGATCTGACAGCAGGGGTCCTTCATGCATCATGCAAATGATTAAAATGTAAATTTTATTCAAGCTTTTTGTGTTTAGCTTAGTTTTTATTCTTGGTTTGGACAGCAGTGTTGTAAGTTCTGGGTGTCTACGTGTGAGGACAAGGCAGGAAGTGGTTTGCTGACTGAAAATAGCAAATGCGGTTCTGTCATGTTGTCAGAGCAACCAGGTTTGACAGCGCTGCCTCATCCAGATAAGTCGGCCATCTTCCTCTTTCGGGTTGATAATGCTTTCACATTTTTCTTCTGTTTTTAGCAGAAAGAAAATGATCCCAGATGAATGACATATTAAACAAAACCTGTTTGTTTTTTAAAATGTATATTTAATTGTGATGGTGTTTCTGATTTCTTTACATCATTTTCTTTTCTTTTTATATTTTCAGGTAAAGACAACACCAGTAAGTAGTGATTCATATTTAGCCAAAATAACATTTTGGTTAAATATGTATTTATTCATTAATACAAATGTTCTGTTTCTAAAAGCCTCCAGCTTTGCTTCATGTTGTCCAAACCTTTAAAGCTGCTCAGTCTTGTTTATTGTTGCTGTCCAACAAAAAACAAATCTAAGATTAAATCTATAATTCACTGGAGAAAACTACAGAGCTTCTTGTCTTATAGTTTTAAAAAGCAGATGAATTTTGGACAATGGAAAGATAAATTAGAGTCGCGGTTCACCAGATTATTTTTGACAATAAATTGAACCTGCAAAAGTTTGTGTTAAGTTTGTGGGACTTTTATAACACAGGTACAGATTTGTCTGTTGGTGGGAGTGTAAAGAATAAAATTGTCTTTGTGAGTTGATTATAAAGTGTAAACCATGCAGACTCCTCAGGTTTTCAGAGATCTGCTCACTCTGTGTCTACAGGACAAGTAGAGACAGCATGTAGTCTCTATGCTCTCTAGATCTAGAAGAAACTTCCTGAAAACCTGAGAAACTCTTGGCTCCTTTAAATTCAAACAATGTTTCTGTTCCCAGCTGCTTTCGATCAAAGCATTTCTTTCTCTTTTCCAATGCTTTCATGCTTATGCTTTACCATTTTTTGCCTCTTTTTGTGTCCTGTTAACCTGTTTGGACTAACTTGTATATGAATGACAGTGTTAAAATAAACCTGCTTTACCTTATAGTGATGTAGAGGTTTAACCATTATAACACTGAGCTTGAGGTAAAATAGTGAGAAACTTGTTTTTAATGAGGTTTAATTCAGATGTTAGGTTGGTTCATTAATCGTTTCAAGAGTTTTATTTTCAGTGACGTTGAAAATAAGACATTAACTTTAGGTTTAACTGCACAGCAGAAACTCTTTGTATTAATGTGGACATTGTGTGAGTATTTAGATGCAATAGATTTGGTCTTAATGAGAGTCAACTTTTTATATATATATAGATAGATTATAAATAGTCTGATCAATAAATCAACTTTTTTCTCATTTATTCTACCTTTTAAATATCTTTGAGCAAATGTCTTGTAAAACATTGAGGATGGAGAGGATCAGTTCCTTCAGCTAAATGTTCAATTCTTCACTTTAAGAAGAACTGATATTGATGTTGATTTTTATATTTTTAGCCTCCTTACCTCCACTCACTGGGACAGGTGCACCTGCACCTGTTGGTACCACACCTCCACGCACTGAAGCAGGTCTTCCTGCACCTGTTGTTATCCCACCTCCACACACTGAAGCAGGTCCTCCTGCACCTGTTGTTACTACCGTACCTCCATTCACTGGAGCAGCAACAACTTCTGCAGCCTTCAAACCTCCCACCACTATCAAACCCTCACACACCTCTCTATCCAACTCCTCAAATCCTCCAAGCTCTTCAATGAAAACAAGTGGTAATGTATTCAGCTTTAGTTTACAGTTTTAAAAAAATATCTTAGTTTTTGAATTATAAAATTAGTTGTTCTTTAAGAATCATAGAAGGTAAGAAACTTGGTAGTGGATTTCTTCAGCTTGACGGTGACCTCCGCATGCTTTCCAACCAGCAGTCAATACCTCACCTGCAAGCACCTCAAATGAGACTCCAAACACCAACCAGTCATCTTCTGAGACAAAACTCTCACCTGCAAGCACCTCAAATGAGACTCCAACCACCACCCAGTCATCTTCTCAGACAAAACTCTCACCTGCAAGCACCTCAAATGAGACTCCAAACACCAACCAGTCATCTTCTCAGACAAAACTCTCACCTGCAAGCACCTCAAATGAGACTCCAAACACCAACCAGTCATCTTCTCAGACAAACACAACCATGACGCCCACCACAGGTTGGAACTTTAAATATTTAATTTTGGACTTTAACAAGTTTGTTAAGATATAGACTATGGATTACAGACAGTAGGTCAACAGTAGGTTTGCCAAGACAGAAATAAGGCAACTGTAAATTAAGATGGTTTGAGAAAATGTTTCAGTTTTTAACTTTTTTCATTCCCTCTTGCAGCTCAACCCAAACCAGATCCAAAGTGTGAGTATCAGATTTGAGGTTATGAACAATTGTTTAATGAAGGTGCTCTTTTTTCTGAGATTGTATAATAAAAAAATTGTTTTGCTTTTTAATTTCATTCTAACAGCTTGAAATGAACCTTGAAGTTTTATTTGAGCTCAGATGTAAAACTGTTGCTTTGCAGGTTCCTTCAGTGTTGAGACGATCAAGTTTGGTCTGAAGATACAGATGACAGATTTTACTCCTAACAACTTCACCGTATATGTTGCTGAGATCGGAGATTTATTTGAAAGGAAAGGCGATTTTAACACCAGTGAAAACTCAACTTATGACATCAAACTTCTGAAGCCGTGCACTGAATATGAGCTAAAAGTCACATTTAGTGACTCCAATGGTACAGAAATATCCTGTAACACAACCAAAAATAAAACAACAACAACTGGAATGAGTGAGTAAAATGTTTCATATTTTATCTTTACTTTTATTATTGACTGAAATGAGATTCTGTGAGAACTGAGACAAATATTGTTTCTGTGTTTCAGCTGATCGAGACATAAAAAAAGCATCCTGCCCTCCTGGATATTTCTGTTACCAAAGTGGTTGGAACATCAACTCTTTACTATCAGAAAACAACAAAGTTTCAATTGAAGATTTCAAGAATGGATCGTATCGTTTCAAACACGTTTATGACGACATGTGTTCAGATTTAGTTTTGACGTTCCCAGAAAACTGCTCCAATGCCACATTTACCAAATCTGAAACCTTCACTGTTGGTATGAACAAAAACATATTAATAATAATTAATATGATTATCAAATCTGTGGATGTGACATTAGTTTCACTAAACTGGTATTTTTTTATTCTTCAGATTTTATTGATCCAAATGACATAAATCAGACTAAACCTGATAAACTTCCTGCAGAGATAAAACCAAAGTTTCCATTAAGCTGCAAAAATCTCAGTGTTGATTATAAATGTTCAGGTGAGTAAAAACTACATTTATAAAAAACAATTAAAAAACTATATAAAGTAGAAAACTACAGATTCTGCCTTAAATATACATGATAAATATTTTCCTAAATGTTTTAACACTTTTTTTTTGTAAATTGTGTCAAAATGTAAAGAATAAATCAAACAGCTGATCAGTGTTAATATGCAGCCGCTGCAGAAATGACTAAATGTTTGTGTTTCTTCAGAAATCAACAATCAATCTGTTGAACCGTCTGACATGAAGCCGTTCACAAACTACAGCTGCACTGGTGACATCAAGAGGAACAATGTCTCCATAAATAAGACACTTCCACCTGTCCAGTTCAACATTCACTGTGGTGAGTTGGTATTTACTGCACTTCACTGGAAATAAGAACAAAGTTATTATACTAACAACACAGAGAGAAAATCACTATCAGGACATCATTCATTGTTTTTGCTTTTCTATGCTGCAGATTTTACAGTAACCAACCTGAAGAACAGTTCAACCAGTACATCCATTAAGCTGAACTGGAAAACAACGAGTGAAAAATGTCAAGATGTTCTTGACAAACTGGGTTTGCTCTATTATCACTGCGAGTGTGAGCAAGATGTGGAAGGCAAGTGAAATAAATAGATTTAGTTTAATGTTTATTACATTTGGATTAGCACAAATTCCACTTAAAATAAATCTATTTTACACAAACTCCATGAGGAGATAAAAATGTGTAAAACAACCAGATGTGATCAGTGAAGCTGTGACTCTAAACTATCACTGATCTGAGGATGATTTTAACGGAAATGTTTATTTAATGTTTGACATGAGAAACAGACCAAACTCTGTTTCAACATGATAATCATTTTTAAGATTATAAAGATCTTTTATAACAAGCTGCTGTTGTCAAACCAAACACAAACAGGTTCTGGAAAATATAAAAAAATTACAGAAAAGACGATTTATCAATCTGAAGGAAGAAAGTGTGTCTTCGAGGAAGGAGTTAAACCATTCAGGGATTACAGATGTAACGTCAAACACATTTACGCTGGAAAAGGTGATTTTGGAGCAACAACAGTTAAAGGAAAGACTGAGCCTGGAAGTAAGTAACCGAGAAAATATGTTTTTTGAAATAATAATATAATCTCCAAACACTGTCTGATTTAAATTAATTTGATATAAATTTCTGTGTGAATTTCTTGTTTTTATGCTTTGTTTGGCTAAAGGTATAAACAGTAAATGTATCTGTTAGGAAATTCAACTCTTTTTTAACAAATTAAGTCAGAAATTTAGTTTTTGGATTTAGACACAGTCAATCTAGAATCAGTTATAATTTTAAATGAGTTTTATTGCAATCCAGTTGAATTATTACAGTATTGAAAGTCATTATTCTTTCATATGGTTTTCCATGCAAAAAACGCCAAATTGTTTTCAAAACACAAACTGCGTCTCAACATATTCCATCATTGTAAAGTTCTGCGTCGACAAGAACAATAACAAGTTAGTTTAGACCCATAAATTCATAAATTTGTTCTGGATAATTGAGAAATCCTTGTTGGTAAATTAAATATGGTTGGTAAAATAACAAAGAAAGAAAGCAGCGATGTTGAGTTCTCTTAATATTTTTATTTGGACAGCAGATAAAATATTAACATAAATCTATCTGCATTACAGTGTCATGGTTAGTTAAAGTAAGTTAGATATTTTAACATTTTTGTTCAGTGTTTGGTCAATTACAAACCTGGTCGTGTTTCTTTTTAAATCATTTTCATGTTTTGGTTTCAGGTTTTATAGGAAGAAAAGATTTTCCTCCCCATGTGTTTGTCTTGATATTTATCCTCTCTCTTCTTCTTTCAGTACCAGAACCACCTCGTAACCTTGACGTTCAAGTTACAGAGAACAATAAGATTGAAGTGAGATGTTCATTAAAGGACATTGATTTTAATGGACCAGACAGAAAATTCATTGCAGAACTTCAAGATGTTGCTGGCAGCAGAAAGTCTAACACAACATGTCACTTTGAATTCAAAGATCTGAGCTACTTAACATCCTACACAGTGAAGGTTTGTAACAACCAGGATCTGTTCATAACTCTGATTTTATTACTGGACTTAATTTGGATGTTTTGAATCCTAACAAGAAGCATTTTGTTATTACAGGTGTTTACTTCCAACAGAAATTTTATCAGCTCACCTCTGAGTAGACAGGCTAACTAGATGTACGTACCATTTTATTCAATCATGCTTTCTTTCACATGTTCACACTTTCCAAATGCATTTTCTACAAATTTCTTCTTAAAAGTTTCAATGTTTAACATCATTTTTTAGATAATGACAAAGCTCTTATTGGATTTCTGGTCTTCCTCATCATCATCACCTCTGTGGCTCTTCTCCTGGTCCTCTATAAGATCTACGTGTTGAAACACAGAAAGTCCCAGTAAGGATGTTCTGTTTTCTCAGCAGGCTGGTTCTGCTCTTTGTTCAGTTTTGACCGTAGAGGATTTTTTTCAAATAGGCTTTTAAGAAACTTTTTATAGCAAACTATTATTTTTTATTGTTATAATGGCATTTAGTTTATAAAACAATTTTCATGTTCACATTTTATCATCCGACTTTTACTTTGAAACATGTCTTTGGTCTTTTCGTTGCAGTGATATGACTGAAAACATGTCACTAATTGCCCAAGGGAGTGAGTATTATTTATGAGTTGTATTCATTATCACTTAACTCAGTTTTTCTTTTTACGTTTCATAAACTGTGTTTTTATCCTTCCTTTTATGTCAGTGCAGCGAGGTTCACATGCAATTGAAACTTCCTACAGTTACTGTCACATGCTGCTTATTTTATTCTTCTTCTTGACTTTTATTAAACAAAAACTCCTTGAGATCAAGAGGACAACAGTATTAGTTTCAAAAAATATATTTTTAACGTCATTGAATAAAAACTACTCACCTAAAGTAAATTTAAACAATGGCATATAGATTTTCATTTCTGCTCATTGCTTTATAAAAACCCTTGAAGCAATGAAGTTTGTCTTGAAACAGATTCCAAGCTGCTAGTGCTGCAAAACGAAAAGCCTTTTTAATTTAGGATCCATCATCATCCATCTTCCCATGGATGTTGTTGCATTAAAAATCAATAATTGTAACTAAAAACAGGTTACCGATTCCAGGAGGTGTAACTTAATTTATCCCACTCAGCCTGAATGTCAACAGATATGTTATTTTACGATTTCAATTACAAAATTAGATTTATAAGGGAGTAGCAAATAAGGGACAGAATTATTCCCCAAATTTCAAACATATTCTTCATCTTTTGTGATTTTCTTCATCAAGTGTTTCTCTTTTCAAACTCAGTTTTTTGTTGGACATTACATACACAGAAACACAAAAACCTTTTCTATTATAAACTGTTTGAACAGCATGGACATTTTGGGAGTTGAAAATCCTCTTTAAAGCTGTAAAAAAATGAAAATCTACAGGAAGTTTTTATACTTTCCATATTAAATTAAAATTGTTCAATGAGTATGAATATTCTCACAGCTAAGACATCTACTGTTGGCTCAATATGTTTTCCATATTAATGCAATTGTTGCTTGTTATGGAAATTCATACCTCTAGTTCTGAAACAATCCTACACTTTTTTTTATTTCCATTTAATTGCAGATTGTTTGGATCAGGTCAAATCTTCATTTTAATAGTTTTCTCATCCAATAAATGATAGAAATCAAGATGAGAGCAGAAAATATTTGTATGAACATGAAATGAAACTTATGACTTTTTGACTTGTCCAATAAAAATCCTTGACACACTCTTTTAGCTTCAGATTAAGTAAATTATGTAAGACTCAAATAGCCTTAATATACAGTACAATACAGTACAAACTAAGTTAAAATGTGAACTAATATGGAGAAATAGTTAAGGAAAAACAGAGAAGCTGAGATGACTGAGTTCACTTTATTTATTTACTTTGAATAAATGCTTTTTTGTGTGACAAACAGGTTCGAATAAAAATGCCAAAGAAAACACATTGATTAATCTCTCCTATACAAGTCATAATACAGTTTAAATCACTAAGAAATTTAAGGTAGTTTCACAATCTACTTATGATAAGTGTCAGACGAAAAGTTGCTGAATTCTGTTAATGTTTATGTTGTCTCATTTTCTGTTGTAGATGATGAAGATAGTTTGATCCCTGTTGAACCGATTCCAGCCGAACTTCTGCTAGAAACCTATAAAAGGAAGCTAGCAGACGAAGGGAGGCTTTTCCTGGGAGAATTTCAGGTAATAACTTCTGTCTTAGATAAACATAGTAATAATTACCTAACTAGCTAATTTCTCACAAAATATAACTACATATGCGCATAATTTACTAATTTAATGAATGAAGGAACTAAAATAAGTGTGAATGTTGAAGCGTTGAGTGGTTTCAAAGATGCTTAAAACTTGTTTTTGTTTGCAGAGCATTCCCAGAATCTTCTCAAGATACACAGTGAAAGAAGCTAAGAAGGCCTGCAACGCTCCAAAGAACCGCTATGTGGACATCCTGCCATGTGAGTGAGAGAAATGATGCAACGCCTGCGAGCTGCGCTGCTGCTTCACACATATCAAACATGCTCTAACAATTCGGCCGTGAGATTGAAGTTCATTTAAAGAAGCGTTCATAACTTCATGCATTGTTGAGCAGCATCATCATAAATCTCAGAACAGGGAGACCAAACTCAACTTGACTCATTCAGATGTATTTAAATATTTGCAGGAGTTGTATGCCTGTCATTTGATCATTCTTGTAATGTCCAAAGCTACATCAGTTTATTCCAGATTATTATTGTCTGCAGCAGATTACATCAAGTCTTCAAACTTTGACTTTATATATATATATCAGTTTTGTTATCTGTGGGTATGAAGAACTAAAATCTACTGGGTGATGTAATTCATTTCTTTTTTTCTGTGCTCTGATTTAGACGATTATAACCGCGTCCAACTGGCCACAGGAAACGGAGAAGCAGGATGTGACTATATTAACGCCAGCTTCATTGACGTACGTTGAACCTCAGACACATCCAGGCTCATATATTTATTTAGGGATAAACATATTGTTACCAACATGTTTCTTCTGAATGAAATTAAGACTAAGAGTTCGGAGCAGCAGAGAGAACAACTCAAATCTTGGAAACACACATAAAGCTGGTCAGCAGTTATAACAAAGTTTTAATTGCTGGAAAGATTTTACTTTTTACTTTTTAATAGAGTAACAAAAGAAAAAAGTAATTGTGATTTTAAAAAAAGATAAAAACAGGCATTTTCTCTAAATTAATGCATTGCCTAAATGAAGTAAATTTAAATCAAAATTTAGGTATGAATTATTTTTGTAACATCACTAATTTCTACAAGAGAAAAAAAAATACTCTACTCAAACAATTTTATTTTTATTTGTAACTACAATGTTGTTTGTCCTGCAGGGTTACAAGGAACAAAAAAAATACATTGCAGCTCAAGGTAAAGTCTTATTTTCCTCTGGTTTTAGCCACAGAGTGTTACACAGAGTGTAACACGTCTCATTCTGTGTTTCTGCGTGTTTCTTGCAGGACCAAAGGATGAAACTGTGAGTGATTTCTGGAGGATGGTCTGGGAGCAGCAGACCTCCATTATTGTCATGGTGACTCGCTGTGAAGAAGGAAACAGGGTGAGAACCTCAAACTGCAGGATGTTGAACTAATTCTCAAAATCTTTCCTGAAATGTTTAACTTTGAGATAAATAATTGACAATGGTGACACGTTTCATCTCTTGCAAAATGTATAAACTTTATATATTTACCCTTCTAATGTCGGTTGTTTTGCAGATCAAGTGTGCTCAGTACTGGCCTTCTCCTGATAGAGAAACTGAGATCTTCGAGGAGTTCATAGTGAAGCTGACCTCAGAAGAACATTGCCCAGATTACACCATCCGCCATCTGAGCCTGACTAACGTGAGTCTGTGTTCAGACACTGAGAAAGGAACAATACATCATAATCTCACAGCAGAGCTGGGTGGAGGTGTTCATACAGCTGTTTGTGTTTGACTTTTCAGAAGAGAGAGAAGAACCTGGAGAGGGAAGTGACTCACATCCAGTTCATGAGCTGGCCCGACCACGGCGTCCCAGGAGAACCGCACCTCCTCCTGAAGCTGAGGCGGCGGGTCAACGCTTTCAAGAACGTCTTCAGCGGCCCCATCGTCGTCCACTGCAGGCATGTAGAGCAACAAATGCTCATTTAGAATATTCTCTTGCTGTAAATCTACTTCCAGATGTTTTCCTCTCTTGCCTACCTGATTCAATTGTCGCTCAGTTTGTTGAATTTTGTTGCTTTCATATTTTTAGTTTGAAAAGGACTGGGACCAATGATCTCATCTAAATCTGTCGCAATGATCAATGAATCAATTAGTTCCAGGATGAATTTAAAATTAGCTCCCGAATTTCCAAACGGATTAATAATTTTTGAAAGGAAATTTAGTTTTCAGACACTTCATAACCCATTTTATTGGTGGTTTTATATTAGTGTATTTTTATTTCCTTCTTATTTATTGTTTTTGGTTGTTGTATTTAATTTGTAATATCCTTTCATTGCAGTGTTCTTTACAAAATTAAAGTTTATTGTTTTTTGAGATGGTCTCAAAACAATATTATCCTTTATCTCAATAATTACAATTTATCATGCAGCAAAATTTGTTATTGTGACAGGTCCAATCTCATCTCTTATTTACTCTTATTTACTCCATTGCACCTTTAGACAAAGTGTAATATTTAAAATAAACACGCAGTGTTACTTCCTGTTCTGTGCAGCGCTGGAGTCGGCAGAACCGGCACCTACATCGGCATCGACGCCATGATGGAGGGTCTGGAGGCCGAGGGCAGGATGGACATTTACGGATACGTTGTCCAACTCCGGAGACAAAGATGCCTCATGGTCCAAGTGGAGGTAAGATCTGTAGATCGCATCCAATCATCGTGAAGCATAGTTAAAAATAAACTGAGCAAACCGCTGGTGTTGGTAAAATAGAAGATAACAGAGCCATAAAATCCAAATAAATTACACACAAAACAAGTTAGAAAAAAGATTTAATGTATTTGGAAACCAAGAAACAATAAATAAAAAATACATTCAATCTAACACATTTTATGGCATTTATTATACATGCAGGGACAGAACAAGGAATAATATGTTGCCCACAAATATCCGAATTAGAAAATGAAAATGCTTTTGTTTACATGTAAAACAGTACAAACAGTACTTTTCCGCTCTACAAACACAACTTTATGTATATTTTTATGGGAATTTTTGCAAATAAGTGGTATATCTATGTATTCATCCCCTTTTATTCTTATACCTCTGAATTAAAAAATATAGATGTTTGGAGCTAATGTCAAATATTACTGCAATATTTAAATTTAAATTGCACATTGCCTGACGTTGTCGTCTTGGTCTGGTATTTTTTATGTCCATAACTTTGATCAGGTCTCATTAGCTGAAAAAAAAACAACATTTTTGTGTTATCACCATAATAGTTGGGGATTTTTCTCTGGTTTGAATGTTTCTGCTTTTTTGTACCAAATGAAGAATACAACATTGTGTCAAAGCAATTCCCTTTTTATATTTTCTGACCACAAAGCAGAACATCAGAAAAGATAAAAGCTGAGCCGTCTTTGTGTGCCTCACTCTCAGAAGTATTTTCCTCTTCAGTCGGTCATCTTGGAGTCCAGCATTATGCTGAGTCCGTTTGACTCTTTGCTTTGAGATGCTGCTACTGGAGTAGTTCGTTTTCTCTAGGATAAGACTTGATCTTGGTCTTTTTTCATGTCTCACACCATCAGTCACGTGTAAAACTTCTCCAACATCCTCATAGATGTTTCATTCTGTGAACCATTTTGTGTTTTTACTGTTGCCACCGGAACTTGAAGGCATTTAGAAATGGCTTTTCGGTGCTTCCTGAGTTGTGTGAAGCCACAGAGCCTCGCTGAGCGTGTTTTTAGCAATGACTTGCAACAAGCCGACCACAGAGAGCTGCTATTTTTCACGCTGTTGAGGGAGCCAGTGGAGGGATTTTAAAACTGGTGTTATGTGCTCTAGCTTCCTGATATCAGTAATAATTTTTTTCTTCCTAAGAAAGAAATGATTACTGATATCACATGGGTGAGTCAGCCATTTTGATGTTTGACGGCGTGTTTCAAAGTGAAACCAACAGTGCAAAAAACAAAAAAAACAAAAAAAAGAAACACCTCAGATTAATAAAAGGAATAAATCTGGTAAATCAATAAATGTTTTGGTTGTTCCCTGTTATTCTGGGGTTAATGTGGTTGATTGTGTCATCTGCAGTCCCAGTACATCCTGATCCACCAGGCCTTACTGGAGCACAACCAGTTTGGAGAGACAGAGATCTCTCTGTCGGAGCTGCACAGCACACTGAGCACGCTCAGACAGAAAAACTCCGACAGCGAACCCACGCTTATGGAAGAAGAGTTTGAGGTATGCTTCATTCTTATTTCTAAAACATTTATTCATCTAAAGTTTATTTATTGATCTAGTACAACCATTTTTGTAGAAGTCGGCCTATGTGAAATAAGATGACTTTTTGTTTTGAAATAAAGAAAGTATTGATTAAACAACTTTTGTCATAATTAAAAAGTCTGCATTAATCTCTTTCCAGTCTGTTTTTGGACCTACATTGAAAACATTTCAGTTTAAATTACTTTTTATTTCGAACAACTTAAAAAAATCTTTGTGTTGCATTTCAGCGACTCCCTTCCTTTAAGAACTGGAGGACCTGCAACATAGGGACCACAGAAGAAAACAAGAAAAAGAATCGTTCTTCATCTGTTATCCCATGTAAGTATCTGCTACAGGAGCATCTTAATAAATATGAATATCTTCAAAAATTGTATTTGTTTCAGAAACATTATTAAAAAAGGGAAACCCAGATGTTACATACATTCAAAACACACTTATTAATATATTTGAAGAGTTGGTTTTGATAAAGCTTGACATACAGGCGTTTCTCGGAAAATGTTCTTATGATATACTGTAGACTAAAACAGCTTTTTGTTATAATAACGCTGACACAGTCATTTGGAAGTCTAACACACACTCACAGGCATCTTCCACACTGGTGATAAGCCACAAAAACATTGCTAAAGAAGTTTGTTAAGTTTGCTACATCCACTCATATTAATGAAAAGTTGAGTGGAAGGAAAAAGTACAGATAAAGAAAGGATGGACCGTCAAATGGGATAAGTTCAGCATTCATAGGATAGTGAAGCAAAGTCGATTAAAAAGTTTGTGAGAGCTCACCAGGTGTGGACAGCAGCTGGAGTCAGAGCTTTACTGTGTTGGACTGGCCAGCAAACTGGTCTGACCTGAACTGATAAATGATAAATCATCCCAAAGCCAACAGATGAGCTGAAAGCCACTATCAAAAGCAACCTGAGTTAACTAGGAAGACATAATATTCTACTCTTGGTTGTGTTTCTTCAAAATTATTTGTTTTTATCCGTTTTTCTTGTGTCTCAACGTCCTTCTCTAAACCTCCCGTCTCCAGATGACTACAACCGAGTTTTACTCAAGACAGTAGAAGACAACAGTCAGGACAGCGAAGTTGATGATGAAGAGATGGAGGACTCGTCAGATGAAGAAGACGAAGACTCCTCTCGATACATCAATGCCTCCCACGTTAATGTATGCTATTATTCTCACCTATAGAAATATTGAGGTTTTTTTAGATTTAAAAACAGAAGGAGGGCTGATTATCTCAGTTCCGGTTTCACTTTCTGATTGTTTGAACTTGACCGTTGTTAATCTGTTTTCTTGCAGGGTTACTGGGGATCTCGTTCTCTGATCACAGCCCAGGATCCGCTGCCAGACACTTTCATCGACTTCTGGGCGATGGTTTGGCAGAAGAAATTATCCACTATTGTCATGCTTTCAGAGCACAAAGAGGTAAAAACCCCTCTTCCACTTCTTATCATGCATCCTCTCTAAGTCTCTCTAAGTCTAAGTCTTGCACATGTTTAGAGTATTTAGAGTAAATTATCTTGTTCACCTGCTGATAGGATGGTGACTCTCTGTACTGGGGAAAAGAAAAGAAGGCGTTTGGAGATTTTGAGGTAGAAGTTTCAAGTACAGAAATTACTCCAGTTTTCATCTCCCGCACCATGTTGGTCCAACATGTCAAGGTAACACCAGAGCTGGACTTTATGACTGTCATTTTTCATATTTACCAGTTTGATGCAGTGATTTTACCCATAGGCATGGTTTTATGTGTCTGCTTAATAAAAACAACTCTGTCAACAGCGAAAAGATAGTCGGCAGGTGAAACATTTCCAGTTCCTGAAGTGGGAGGGCACAGATCTGCCAGAGAAACCGCAGGAACTCATAGATATGGCAAAGGAAGTAAAACGCAGCTGCGTCGGCAGCAAATCCCAGAGGATGCCGATTCTCATCCACTGCACGTAAGGCAGCCAGTAATGAGATATTATTGATAAAAACATAAAGCTAATTTAAGCAGTAATCTCATAAATGCTTTGATTTCTTTGTGAAGACAAATTTAAACATCATAAATCATAACTTTTACAACTTTTCTTTGTAACATGAGCCATAAAGCTCATGTTATTAATTTCAGTTTTAGTTGTGAAATATCCATCCATCCATTTTCTAACAACCTTGTCCCTAGTGGGGTCAGGAGGGGCGCTTGTGCCCATCTCCAGCTAACAAGGCAGATTACAACCTGGACAGGTTGCAGAATTGTGAATTATATAGAAAACAAATTATGAAATCAAAAAGAAAAATGCTAGTAGATAAATTAGAGTTCATGAAGTGAATATTTATTTCCTGATTTGTTGAGTAAGATTGATAAAGGCAGGTGAAACATAGAGATCAATAGCATGGAGACGTAACAAACCAGCAGCTTACAGCATGATTTAAAAGCTCTTTATCTAGACTTTAGTTTGCACATAATTCACCAGAGGAGAGAAAGATTGCAGGGTTCAGATGAGACATTGACCAGCAGCTTTTTTAATTTATGTTCTTCATCTCCTCAGTGACGGATCGACACGTTCGGGAATTTTCTGTGGTTTGTGGAATCTGCTGGACAGCGCTCAGACTGAGAAGCTGGTTGATGTTTTCCAAGTGGTCAAAACTCTACGCAAGGACAGGAAGGGGATGATCCCTAGCCTGGTACAAACACATTTTTCACTCTTCTAATGTAGCAACATCAGAAGAGATATTACTTTATTTGTGCTGGTTATTTATTAGTAAAATTCAATTTATAAGCATTACTTAAAACTTCAAAATGCTATTGCCAATATGATCTACAATGGCAATAAATATATGACATTTAAAAAAATAAATGACTGAAATAAATAAATAGCATTTACCCCCTAACAAAACCATTGTAATATTTTTATTTGTTTAAAAGTTTGCCAAAGCAGTTTGCCAAAGCAGTTTGCAGCAGGATGCGTGACTTGTTTGATTGCATATTAGTTTCTTCAAATTTATGTTATGTTTTTAAATAATCTTACAAATGATCTCACTTTAACAGATGGAACATTTCTAGCTACTGCTTCATCGTTATTTTTTTAAATCACATCTCCAAACTAAACCTTTATAATCAAAGGTGTATATTTGCTTTGGATGTTTTACTAAAACAAAAATATTCTCAGCTTCAAAAAGTGTCCTGGTAAGAATTTGCAGCAATAAAACCATCATAATATGAACTAGAATTAAAATATTCAGTGTAATATCAATTGAAATGATAAGTTCAGACATTTTGATTTGATTTTAATGTATGACACATAGATGACTTTTTCACTAATTATCTGTTTTGTCATAATTGCACCATTGTGACTCTTGATAAGTTTCTTTTCCAGTAAAATTCATCCATATCACTTTCAGGAGCAGTACCAGTTCCTTTACAAGGCTCTAGAGGGCGCCTTCCCCGTCCAGAACGGGGAAGTGAAACAAGTCAAGAGTACAGCCGTCGCCAGTGTTGAAATTGTTAACGAAACCAAAGCCGGAGAAGCAGAAGCAGAAAAGCAGCCAGAAGAGAAGAAGGCAGAGGAGCCAGCCAGCACTACCAGCAGCAACCAGCAGGCGGAGGCAGAGAGCACTCCTCTGGTGGCTCAGAGTGAAAAGGAAAAGAAAGAAGAAGAGGAAGCTGCAAAGGAGTCCAGCTCCCCCCAACAGTCCACACCACAGGAGGAAACCAGCAACGGCCCCACAGACACTGTGGAGGTCTGAGATGATGAGGGGACACATTTATTCCTAATACTTTAGTTTTATGCTTTTATAAAAAATAAATAAATAAAAAAAGATACATTCTGAATGTATAAACAGTGTAAAGATTTAACTCAGTATGAGATGGTGAGTGAAAATTAGAAAGAATTAGATTAAATACGTTCATATTTTGAACTTCTATAAGTTATAAAGTTTCTGAGCAAAAGGTTATTTTTCCTGCTGGCAAAGGTAATAGAACTGCTGTTGTCAAACTATGGATCAAGATGACGTTTAAATACACAGTAGATGAGCTTTTTTGTTTGGTACTCTAAGTTTGTGTAAGGTTAAATTTAGTTTATATTTTAGTTTCTCGTTATTTTCACACTCTGCAGCCGACCTTTACATGTTGTACATCTGCCATATCGCAAAAATTTAGCTGTTAAGTTCAAATTTCATTATTTACTACTGTATTTCCTTTCTGAAATACATTGAAAAATGTTTTATTTATGCAGACTTGCTTATTATTATAGTATTAATGATTTCCAAAACATATTTCTCACTTGTTCTCAAAGAGACATGTTTAATTATTTCTGATATCTTTGCTATACTGAAAAAATTGCTATATCCTCTCTGCCAGCAGAAATAAACAATATTTTATTAAAATCTTTTGGGTGTCATGAAGTATACAAATATTTTTTGGAGCATGAAAAAACTTTGCTTGCAAACATCAACAATAAATCATAAAGTTGTACTTGAAAAAATGACTGTTTACAGTCCTGAAAACAACAGAACTATTCTTTGGATTTTGACCTTTACAAAGAATTTAATATCAGTAAAGATGTGGTAAAACTTTCACATCTGTTTGTGAATGAGATTGTTAATTTCATGGAGGAATCCCACACAAATGTGACAAAAATTTATTTTACGGTCAGAAGAAATTGTAAAAAACAAGAAAAAAAATCCTACAAAACATGACATGCATTCTTTGATGAATATTACTTTTTGTAATCAGTTTGTGACTGTTAAAGGCAAATTATTACATTTAAGACACAAGAGAAAAGTGTTTCCTTCAATTTTGCACAAGAATCAAAGAGCTGCATGTTTTTTTCTGATTAAAGTTGCATATTAAATAAAATATCAGCTCAAAAATTCAATCAAAGCTCTAAATAAACTTGAAAAATGGCAATATAAAAGCACTTTCTATAACTAAACACACCAAAAACTACATTTCAAAAATTGCAAAAATACAAGCAAATTACTGTAGCACAAATAACAAGAAGAAGTTTCATGTGAAAGGAGATAAAACAGAAATGCTCATCTAAACTCTTAGAAAAACTGATGCAGACCCTGTGTGGGTAAGATCTTGGTTTTTGATCACATTTTGCCTCGAAGGGTTTAAGTCTGTCAAAAGTCTGTTAAGTCTGTTTTGGCTGGTAAGCATAAAAAAAAAACATGCAACTGTGAACTTTAAATACAATAACAAGAGCATGTTTTATGTTTTACCATAGTGAATATTTTGGAAACAAATACTTTTGATCAGAGGTAATTATCTAAACTTAAAAAATGCTTCCCAAACCTTCAAATTTTTATCTTTAAATACACTATATGAATGATTTTGCATTGTTTTGTGAATATAAGTGCTGCTAAAATGTACAGTGCTGACTTTGACACAGCTTTCTCCACCATTTCTGGCACCCCTTGTAAAATATGTACTGAAGTCTTAAAGTATTTTCTTTTTATGGAAACTTGGCGAACCCAAGACGACACATTGTTCCAGGAAAATGACCTTTCACTTAGGCTTGAACCACTTTCTTGCGGTCATTTCCTTTGTAAATAATAACATGCATCTGACTCATTTAATGCCATCAGTGTCTCAGATTTATTCCCCAAAGAAAAATGGGAATTATTTTAATTCTCTACTAAGTGGTGCCAACAATCACGACTGGTGTTGTATATGAAACTAAAGGAGGAAGCAACTATAACAGGTTTAATAAAATGATCCATATTTAACTGTAAACAATTATTTCTTGTATCAAAAAAGTGCAAATACAAAAAAAAAAAAAAAATACCCAATTGAATCATCACTATTGTATAATTTTTAAACACATTTCTGTAGTGTGCACAATTTATCATGAAATTTGAAGTCATTTGTTTAAATACACAGTTTATAAATGAAACAATATGGTGACTTTGCCTTAAGAGAATATTTTTAAAACTGTCTAAAAAACTGGATTGTTTTTCCCTGCTTTGTATCCTAAGCATTCAGTGAATCAGCATATAGTTTTAGAAATGATTTGTTTATACTGGTGATTTACTTGCTAGTTAAATTTAGTGATGTATAGTTGAATGAACATCATCTCAAGAAACAGCAGATTTAGTTTCACTCCTATCTTGAGCAGCATTCATTAATCCCATTTTCAGCTAGCGAGAACATAATCGAATAACCATCTAGTATCTTTTTCTACAGAACCGTACATCAATAACTACTACAAACAACCACTAACATATTTGTTTTGATAAAACCCTGGAGCACAATACAAAAATACTGAAATGATGCTCAAATTTACATCTAGATGAGGCTCAAAATCTACGAAGGAGTATTACAGCTAATGTAGATAAAATAAACTAAAATTTTCACCAAAAAAGTTGAAATTTTAACTTTAATATTTATATTGAAAATATTTGAATATTCTCTTAAATTAAGTTAAAAATTAGAGCGACACTCAGGAGGAGCACAGCAGATGTCACGGTCAGACGGCGGGGAAGAAGAATGGATTTATTCCATCGGACCATCAGTTCCTGAAACCATGAACACAAAAAATCGAATGAAAACGTATGCGGGGTTATTGAGACCACGCCGGACCAGAGTAAAAAGTTCTGGTACCAAATTATCCCATTTCTTAAGACCATGGAACAGCTAAACAGTTCAAATGAAAACAAAATTAAAAACCCCAAAAAATTTTGCAAACTTTCAACTTTTTCAAATTTGAGTTTTTTTCTTTTAAATATGTGAAATTATTCTCAAAATATCTGCAGTTTTTTGTTTCCTTTTATCTACAATGACTTTAATACTGCATGGTATAATCCAGCCAGAGGTCATACATTCAAGCACTAATTTGTTTCTGATGGTGATGTTCCTCAGTATAGTTTACAAATGTATCATTTTATAATTTAACACAAAAAAAGACACACAAAGAAAGATTTTCACGAATAGAAAAACTTTGATCCTAAAATAAAATCAGATTCCAGCAGTTTGCATCATTGTTTGATTCTAAAAGTCCAAACTTTGACTCTTATCTGGCAAAATCCTGTTCAGGATTTGATCTGCCTCCAGCAGAGTTCAAGTTTCTTGGTGTCATGTTCACCAAGGATTGCAGGATGGGGAGGGAAATTAATAGATGAAGTGGGGCCTCATCTGTGTTCTGCTCTTCTTGTGGAGATGAAAGGTGATCCAAAAAGCAACGCTCTCACTTGCCAAGTCTATTGAGAAATAGATTGAGACATTCTTCAATGATTGAGCTCATCTTCCTCTGCAGGGTGCCTGTACTCAGCTTAGAGATTAGATGGGTCCTCCATCATCCGGAGGGAATCAGAACCAAGGTGCTTCTCTTCCCTCTGCGTTGGAAGGAGTCAGCTGAGGTTATTTGGGCATCTGACCAACCTGCCTCTCTTTGTTTGACTCGTCTAACTGGGAGGAGACCACAAGTTTGCACGGAAACACTTTGGGACTCCCAATGAGATGGAAAGTGCTGCTGGTGAGAGGGTTAGCCCTGTGACCTGATCTCAGACAAAACAATGAATGGACGGACGGAATCTGATTTGCTCTCCTGCCAGTTTCATTTCATTGTTTATCTCGGTTGATTTTCACCACTGTTTTCAAGTTTTTCAAAGGCACAACCACATGATCCTCTGTTCAATGTTTGAGCTGACATTGGAACAATCTTTGACTTAATTTGCTCTCTTCAAACTGCAACTGAAACCAAACCAGAACAGGAGTGTCCCACCTCCTCAAATCCAACTGTAATCCCGAGGAGCTCAGATGAATCGTCCACTTTGTCCCTCTGTCCCATTCAAACCTGCTCTGTTCTGCAGGAAGTGGATGAGCCACGTTTTACATTTACCCCTGCTTCAGTTTTAACCTCCATCAGTTCATCTGTTTCTGTTCAGTTTGATTAGGTTTGCCTGGCGGTTGCAGGCCGGACCGTGACGGGCTCAGAAATGTTGTCAGTTTGAGGTTTGGCGGTCTCTGGACGGGCTTTGGGCTCTTTCTTTGGCTGTGAAAGTGAGACTGGTTCCCAGAGGAAGAACTCATGCAGAAGTGTGTTGACAGCTTCAGGACACTCCAGCATCACCATGTGACTGCCGTCCTCCAAGACCTTCAGGAACGCCATTAGAAGAATCTGACAAAAACAGCAAAAAGGTGGTGTGGTGATACAAATTCAAACGACTCTTTCTGATTGTTATGGATGAGATTTTTTTAGGTGCAAAGTAATTTACTTGTGTAGAATAATCCAGAGTTTATTTGTGTTCTAGTTATTCTGTAAACCGGTTTAATAATGGATTACCATACAGTCTTGTAAAATGTGATGTGTGTGATATTTTAAAACCTTCATAAATTGGTTGTCTTGTACAAATCATTCAGTCTTTCTCAAGCTAATTGATCTGGAGAGACTTTGTCTGCCTCTGGGATAATCATATCAATTTCACTGATTCAAACATTTTCTCATCTTGTCCTTGTTTTTTTACCCAAACTAAAAACTCAACCTCAACGAGATTAGCTGTCTCGGTCAGTCCTCACCTCAGCCATGCGCTGGTCCTCTTCTACTGGGACGAACTTGTCATGCATGCCGTGAACCAGCAGGATGGGCACCGTGAGCTCAGCGTGATAAACCTCGTCCCCCTCAGGCCAGTACTGACCGCTCATCATGGCACGCAACACAAATGACGACACATTGAAGGCATTGTACTCTTTCAGCAACTGCTTCTCCCTGGATCCCTGCCGAGCGAAGCCCGCCCTGCAGAGGCAGAAGCAGAGATTTATCTAAGTTACAAACACAGATTAAAACAAATGATGCCAAACACTGCATCACCCACTTTCTGGCATTAAGTCTAAAGTCTAAAGCTCCCCAATGTCTGAAGGATTATTTGTGATAGATTTTATTTTTCCACCTTTGGCCGATTTTTTAGCTGCATTTTGCTCTTGTCACCTCAGCTAAACCCAAATTTTTCATACTCCTCGCAGAATTATTTTGCTTGAAATGAAGAAGAAATTGATAGATTATTCTGTTTGTGTTTTGAAAATGGCAGGAAAAGGACAATGGCAATGTCATTGTACAAGAATTTCCTGCAAACAGATTTGTTTAGTCTGTCTTCTGTGCCAGCAGATGTCAGCTCAAACTAAGCCAGCTTCTGGTCAAAGTTTCCACCTGTTAATCACACACCAGAATCCTGACAGAATCTCTCCTTTCCACCTTCACCAGGTGCATGATCAGCCTAAACCACAGTAGTAGCATTGATTGTGTCAACTTTATGGTACTTATGGGATGTCGTCTGCAAAAAGTGATCCAAAGTGACTCACTGAGGACAAAAATCCTGACGTCTGTAATCAGAATAAAAATGTATCTTACTTTAGAAAGCTCCAGGCTAGCAGTGGGGACAGGCAGTGAAGCACACAGGTGGGCAGGTTGAAGATGCTGCACAGGCTGGGCTCCAGCGCTGTGGGACCACCACCATTGATCATCACCATTTTGTGAATCTGGTCTGGAAACTCATGAGCGAGGAAGGTACAGAAAGACACGCTGGGAAACAGGAACAGAATGAGGGTAATAATATAGAATAGATAGTAATCTTGTGGTGATGTGCTAAATAGAATGAAGCTGTTATGATTTTTTCCATTTATGGTTGATATAAATGTGTTAACATGAATTATACCCGTATGAATGTCCTATGAGGATGTTCCTCTTCTTTGCATATCTCTTAAAGATTAGTCTCATATCCTCCGCCAGGGCATAGAAGGTGTACGCTGCAGCTATGTGTGGAGATGAGCTCGCTCCATGGCCTGCCAGATCCGGGGCGATCACCTCGTACCCGAGTCGGGAAAAGAAGTCCAGCTGACTCCCCCAGATATCCAGTGACCCTCCGACCCCGTGGATAAAGAACAGGGCGACATCTGAATGTGTTCCTTTACAGGCTGCTATCCTCCTTTCACAGTCAATCACCACGATGCGCTTCGGCTTCCTCCTTCGCTTGCGGGGTTGCTGGGGCTGCTCGGCCTGTCCGGCAGCAGGGACCTCTCCTGCTGACCCGGTTTCTGATGCCCCGTTGTTTCCAGCTGTGACAGAGTCTGACCGAGCCTCGGGGATGCTGACGGGAGGTGAAGAGTTGCGACAGTCTGTCAGTTCAACCTCCACCATGCTGTTGGGTTCAGTCTCTCCATTCTGGCAGGTTTTCAGCTCCGCGCTCGCCCTCTCACCCAAGTTCTCAATGAACAGCTGTCCGTTGCGGTAGACTGTGATCTTTCTTTTGCAGCTCACGATCCCACCCAGCGAGGGCTCCTCCACCGCCGGTCTGTCAGGGATGATGTGTCGAACCCGCAGGACGCGGCCTGGCTTCACCTCCACAAACTCGTACCCATCTGCAGGCTCAGAGGTTTCAACGGGAACCACAGTGTTGGCCGGTTTGGAGGTGAGACAGCAGAGGAGGCCTTCAATAAAGCTGGTCAGCATGGCTGCCAGTCTGGATGGAAAACAGACACAGAAATACAACATGATGGCATGCACTATCTGCTTAATTATCATTAAGCTTAATTATTAGACTACATATATATATGTTTGTTTTTAAGACTTTGCTAAACTTAAACTTAGCTAAGCTTTGCCCTTTTACAGTCCACTCAGGTATCTACTTATAACTGAATCCTTTGTGATTTTCTACGCATTTCTTACAGCAGCATTTGGCGATATTAATAGCTGCAGACAGTAATAGCTCGCTGAGTTAAAGCTGTCCACCATGTGATCCCTCTGTAGCAGTGCAGGCCACTGAAGGGCTGCAGGGGAACCAATCAGCTACTTTTGGATGATATTAGAGAGGATTGGATCATTTCAGGAGTAACTAGACTCATAAAGTTCAAATAAAGAATGTTAATGAAACTGAATGGTAAATGTCCAGAAATTGTAATGACTCTTAAGAACAGTATTAGTAATACAATGGATCAAATGGTTTAATAGTTTATTTTTAAAGAAATGCAGCTAACCACTAGTTTAATTCAGTTGTTTATCAACTACAGCAGCAGTAAGGTCTGCAAGTCTCTATGCAGGTGGCATTATCTTACCTTCCCGTTGCTCCCCTCCCCAGTGGAGGGGATTAAACTCTAAGTCCAAACAACAAATCTCTCCACCTCATCTTGATGAAAAACAGTCACACCTGCTGCTGTTTCAGTTTCTGCATCTTTTTACACCCCCATTCCATTTGCTGCTGCTTTTGTTTTGGGCACAATGTGTTGCAGCCTCTGCTTTGCTGGCTGATTTACAGTGGCCATAGTTGCAGATCCCCAGTCTGCACAGGGGTGTGGAGCGGTGTATGCTGTTTTACTGACAATGAGAGGTAAAAATGACTTAAATTTATTACAGGAATTTATAGGTGTTTTATCCAGCTGTCTGTTTGTGGTCTTTAGGTTAACAAATTGTTGTCTTACTGACAGTTTTATATTAATAAATGATAAAATAATGTTATAGATGATTCCATCCCTCACTCCTCCACTGCAACTCTTATAAATACCTGATCCCATTAAGACTCAAGTGTTCATTTTTTTCTTTCCTAACAGCGCTGAATCTGGAGGTTGAAATCACAAAAAAGTATAATTATGATTGTGAATCTTTTCATTTTAAATCGCGCAAACTATAAACAAACTAAACCCACATTGATTTATTGATCTGACTTTGTGGAAAAGGGATTTGTAACTAACACACTAAAAGAGTTTTGCAAGGTTGTTTCACAAGAAACACAAATAACTTCCTTTCACTTTTTTGGGTTGTTTCTTCTCTCTCTGTTTGGTCCAGACAGGGATCAGCAACTTTTACAATCCAAGAAGCCAATTCTGTCTTGGGTCCAGAAAAATAAATATTGTTTAGAGGCACAAAATATTCCATGATTTATTTATTTATTCCTTTTTTTACAATTTTATTGAATAACTATTACATGAAGGCTGCAATCTTTAGAGAACAACCTTTTAATTTCTATGTTTATGCTTTAAAATATTACATTTCTTTTATGGGATGTTGATATTTGCACAGACTAACAAGAGAAATACATTTAAATAAATATTACTGGTGCATTTATATTAATTATATTAATTGTCTATTTCCTGTGAAAATTATTCCATGGAAAAAGTTAAAAACAGTTATTCATTTTATATGAATTTAAAAACAAGACTTGGTTTTTTTGTTTGTTTGTTTTTTTTTTTTTTTTTTTTTTGTTTGTTTTGTTTTTTGTTTTTTTTATCATTTTAAGCCAAAGCATTTAATAGCCACTGTGGAAAGTCCAAAGACTCACTTGTAATTCTGGACCAACATGTTGCAGAATCCTGGGCTCAATAAAAATAACAGGATATGTTTTCCTCCCACTTTGAAAACAGTCATTGAATATTTAATCAAAATGTAAGCAAAGAGGTGATTAATTAAAGACAAATACCTCGTTTCCCACATTTCATTCACTGTGCTCATCTAATTTTTTTTGCAAAGTTCTGAAAAGTTTTGGTTTTCCTCCCCATGAGCGTCATGCTCAAGGTAAGAGAGACTTTCTATTTATTTTTTTCTTGTTTTGTAGATCAGAGAGGTGAGGAAGTAAAGAACCATAATCATAGAACTGAATCAGAAACAAAAAATCCAACTGGCCTCTTTGTCCAGAACCACAGCTGCTAACTGCAAGTATCAAAGCAAGAGCAAAAATCTGTCCAGCTGCAGCGTACAAAACCAGAGAGAATAACTTTCCAAACATGCAACGCCTCCAACAAAAAACAGAAATCAACAATAGAACAAATCAGCACCAACACAACATGTTTGTGTCTTTGGTGCTTCAGAAAATGGACTTTAGTGTGATTTGTATGACACTGATTAGATTAATTCTGAGAAATATACATAATTTCCTTCTTCCTTTAAACATGCGATTTAGGAAGTGAAAGACTTCAATCTTACAGAAAACTGAAGACTTTTGAAAAATTATGAGGATAAATATGTACTGTATCAATATTAGCAGCTGCTTACACTAATGCATTTTAAGGATATGATATGGATTAATACAATCAACATATTACCATCTGTTCAATTAGTAATGCAATTTAAAACCTTAATCATAGAAAATATTGAAACATTTTTGGTTATTTTTTATTTTGATGATTGTAGTGACTTAGCATATGAACCTCATTAAAAAATTAAACAATGTGGTGATTGTCATTTGTTTTACTGAGGTTTTAGTGCCTCTGTTGTCATTGGCTGTAAAAGATTATGACATAACAATGCACATGTTACACACAACTACTACATGCTGTCCAGAAAATAAGCACAGACTGCAACCTGTGAGTGAAATAAATGTGGACCTGGTTTGTAAACGCATATAGTTTTTATTAAAGATCACTTGGACTAATAGACCTGTTTACTATTAAAATAAATAAATAAAATCTAAAAAAAACTGCTTATTTTAGTGTTACCAGTTGTTGCAGTAATGTTTGTAATAAACAAATTCAACCTGCTTGAATTGGCTTAAATTTAAGTTAAAGTTCAGACATGCATCTATTTTTATTATTATTATTATTATTATTATTATTATTATTATTATTATTATTATTATTACTATTACTATTATAAAAACTGGAATATAATGTCTAATATACTTTGACCAAAACTTTGAACACACAACATATTGTTCATCTTGACACAATGTGGGATTGAAAGCATGCTCTTCACTGGAAAATAAATTAGTTTTTAAAAACCGAGCTGCAGGGTTTTTGTTGCTTTGGTTGGCATTTTTCCATCTATTCACCTGAAACAGTGAACCTCGTTTGAACAGAGGGCTCCCTGCTTTATGTTGCAGAAAATGAGGCAAGTTCCAGAACATTTTCACTCTTTCAATCTAAAAATGTTTGTCCAAATCAAAATGCAATATTAAATTTAAATAATCCGCCTGTCTGAGGTAGCCTGCAGCTCTGGTTGGTTTGAATGCAGGAACCTTTCACTTGAGTTCAAACAACAAAAACTAAACATATTGATTTTAAAAAATTACGCCAAAGTGAAGGAGAAAGCTTACCTTTATCAAGGCTCTTTCTCATAAAACCTCCTATGATCAAACTGCTGCCGCTTTCTCATGAAGCATCGAAGGAGAGCTATAATCTGTTGTAGCCAATCCAATAATCTAATTTATCTGGATTTCGCTGGCCTGTCGGGAGCCATCACATGGCGGCCGGCCAGTGAGTGCCAGCAGACAACATGTCTTTCTGAGGGACCAGAGGTACAGCCAAATATCAGAGAGGAGCTCCAGTCCTCCAGTCTCATACTGGGACATGAGTGGAGGCGGCTGGAGACGCTCCAGGGCTCTCCGTCTGTATCAGAGGCTTTTAAATCCACCTGCCTCTGGTTCTTGATGCGCGTGTGAAGAGCTGCCCCCTGCTGGCCAAAGAGGGGAAGACAGCATGTCAAACTCTTAACGAGAGGAAGCTTGTTTAACTGAGAGGATTTGTTATAATGTGGTTGCACTGCCTTGCAGAAAGAAAGTTTTGGTTGCAAATACCTTCTGAGCATCACGTGGTCTCCACTGTCCTTCCATCTCCCCGCAGAGCATGTCTTTGTAAATGTGACATCATTGCATGGTGAATCATATGTTGTCCATCATGGCTTTTATGCAACAAAATCAAGTATATATAGAAAGTCTGCCCTGACGGTATAAAGCAATCAGACCCACCAGTTAAGTAGCCTGTTTCCCAGAATGCAATGTCAAAGTTTTTGGAATATTTGAGCAAATATTCTTAACTTTTAACCCAATCGTCAAGTGGAATATAGATATATGGACCAATGCTCATAAAGTGAGATAAAGCCCCCCTAAAAATAAAATGTTAAGTAAAACACGTTTTAAAATAAATAACTGTTGTCAGTATGAGGGTACTGGTTCATCCTCATACTTTCTAAATTTTCTAAACTCATCACTATTTTTTTTTCTATAAGTCATACTCTCAGAATAGGCCTACGTCTGAATGACTTGATATTTCATATCCATCAGGTCAAAGCATATTGATCTGTCATAATAGCAGGGTTGAATGTCAAACTGGGCTAATCCAAATGGATATGACAAGTTCAAAACTAAATGCTCATTATTTACTTTCAAGGAAGTTTCAACTTCCTTGAAAAAGGAAACAGAGGGATACCTAAAAACAATTTGTAATTGCAGGAAAGAAGGTATAGTAGAGTCCAAGTGAGTACAATGTGAAAAGATTTTTTGTGTGTAAAAAATAAATTTTCTTATTTAACAATTCGGCTACATTTTGTATTTTACAATAAAACACATTGAAATTTGTGTTTATAATTTGTTAGAATGTGAAAATGAGGTTCTAGAGGTCAAATTACTTCCACAATTTGAGAATTGAACGCAAGGGTCAGCTCTTTTTAATGAGTGGAGCCAATTAATTTGGATCCTGCAAAGAAACGAAATTCCCATCACTACTCAACATGTCGAAGAGCGGGGCCCGTCAACAGGGCAAATTGTGATCTGCCTCCTGATTGGCTGTCTGGTCAAGCTTCTGTCACGTGGTTGCACGAGTAAGCCAATAGCTGCTTCCAGGGCGTGGCCAAGTAAACATCCCTGCCATTCAGCTATCATGTTAGCCGACGGAGTCATATGTAAATAGCTTTACGAGCTTATGGGATGTCAGCTTGGATTTATTTTTTTTCTGAGTGTTTTGTAATTTTGAGTTGACACCTGGATATTTTTCTAAATATAATGGACACCAGAAGTTCTATGTGAAGGTCTTTGCTGTGTTTTGCAGTAAAATCCGTCAGGTTAACTTGCCTCGGTGGACTAGCCTGTTAGCTATCGCGGCCATAACGAGCAGCACAACAAACACCGAGTCGAGCCCACGAGTCGGCGAGTCGACATTAGACATTTCTGCCATCGTCATCATGGAGAAGGTACTCCTTTTACGACAAGTTTGTTCCTTTGGCTTTTGTCTGAAGTACAGAGAATATGTGATGGCGTTCTGACCAAGTGTAGCTAAATGTTAGCTTGCTGGTTGCCACACCTGCTCTTTCTTTTCAGGCCAAACCGGCATTTTTGTTCTCTGAAATGTTCATGGTCAACACCTGCTCATATCAGTGCATTCAGCTGCCAGGTCACAGTGGATGCTTTAGGGTCGTTAGCGGGATAAATACACGTTTCTGGGTTTGTAAGGAGGAGGTGACGCCCAGTCTTTGATCTAAACAGATGCTGATGTCCAGCTTAGACAATTATTGGGGATTTTTCTTTCACATATTTCAGTGAAACGAAAGTAAAAGCGTTGATATTGCTCATCAAAATGGTTTATCTTTTATGACCGTCTCCTATCTTTTTCCTTAGGCTGATTTCTTAAAAGGACTTCCAGTCTACAATAAGAGCAACTTCAGCAGATTCCATGCGGACTCAGTTTGCAAAGCCTCAGTGAGTAATGTCTATTCCATGTTTGTAAATGGATAATAATAGTAATAATGAGTTCTTTGAAGTTCATTATAAAAAGTATTACTTGAAAATCCCTCAAATTATATTAGTAACTCAGCACACCATTTATTAACTCGCATGCTAAACAAATTATAGCTCATTAATATTTTTCTTTGCATAACAATGTCATCTGCAAAATATTTTTCCTATGTTCTCTATTTAACATAAATAACAGCAGCATCTTGCTTAACATCCAAGAGGAAAAACATGAGATTTTTGTGTTGTGTGTTTGGTTTTTAAACAACATATTCATTAAATATAGAACTCAAAGTCTTAAGAAATCTTTCCATCTTGGTCAGTCATTATTTATCACACAGCTCTGCTGCTTTCCTGGCTTATACTATTATTTCAAATGTTTTATTGGAACATCACTCCCTCTGTTTAATGTCTAAAAAGGATGATTTCATCAGAGTGAATATTGGGAAATATGATCACCATCATATCAATGCATGACATCACTGTGGCAATGGATAAACTAATTTGTTCCAGCTCCCATGCATGTAGGCTGCTGGTCTATTGTGATGTATCTGGCCTCTTGACCAGGCTTTAAAAACTTACAACTATTTTTGAAATGTATTTAAAAAAACACTATCTGTTTGAAAGTACTAATATATCATTTCTATATATGTAATTTCAAAAATTTGCATTGATAAAATATGAATTTCTATTTTAGTAATATATTTAATTGCTAAAAATATGTTTGTAAGGAGTACTAAAATATATGTTGATTCAAAGTAGAAGTTTGAGAATAATCTTATGTACATCCTATTTTAGAAAAAATGCAGCATTTTATTTACTTAAGCAGATTTTTATTTTATGTTTCTTTGCTGGATTCTTTCTTTTTTGTCACATTTGACAACTAACTGACTCTTTACTGTCTGCAATTGAAAATATACGACATAAAAGTCATGTGAAGGATGGACCAGCTTTTGTTTTATCTGCTGCTGTTTTTTCCCCCCAGATGCCTTTCAATGCTGCGTTGGGGCAGGATTAGATTGTGTTTGCACACAATAGTTTGTTCATTTTCTGTGTGAAATGACCGTTATTAATGGCTGTTAATAATCTAGTTGTAATGGAGAAAAATTAATTCAGATTATTTTTCTCCTTAAACCCTTAATCAAAAGTTATTTTGAGTAAATTTAAGGTTAAAGTTGAAGTTTTTGCACATTTCTCATACTACATATGGTTAATGTACATTTATGTTGTTAAGTAAGCTGAGGCAATTTATTTAAAAAAAAAATCAAAAATTGTTATTCACTGCTTTGAACTGAATTGGGAATTTGTTTTTTAAGTAAATGAGAATAAGTCTGGACTGTTCTTTCTTTTTTCATCTTTGTGTTTTGTTGTGCAGAACCGAAGGCCGTCTGTTTACCTCCCAACCCGGGAATACCCTTCAGAACAGAGTGAGTCACAGGGAGCGGCTTCAGACTGGATGCACTAGAAGATTTATTATAACAGCCTGCACTATGATGATATAAACACTTGAATAATCAATGAATTTCCCTCCTGCAGTGGAGGGGGGGCTCGAGAACAGGTTGAGGTTTTGTTGACTCAGGGAGGATAGAAAAGAAATCGGAGCGATGATGATAGAAAGTTTGTGCAGTTGTTAATCTGTGCTTTTATTAATGTGATATTTTTATGTTAATTTCCTTTAAGAACTACAAATCTGATCTTCCTTTTTTAACGTTGCAGTTATTGTAACGGAGAAAACGAATATCCTCCTGCGTTACCTGCATCAGCAGTGGGACAAAAAGGTGAGCAAGTCCCTTCATTAACACCTTTTCCTAAACCCTAATGTTTCTTTCTAATCAGTAGTAGTTAGTTAAATGTGTTTTGAATAAATAATTTATTTTTAAAATATTGTCTTGTCATGGCTGGATTATCGCTAACGTGTGTGTGGTTTTGTTTTAAGCAGAATGCAGCAAAGAAAAGGGAACAGGAACAAGGCGAGGTGGACAGCCCGGCACCGCCGAGGAAAATCGCCAGGACAGACAGCCAAGAGATGAATGACGACTCATAAAGTGTGTGTGTGTGTGTCTGTGTGTGAGAGGATGAAATGGCATGTGCACATACAGGGTGTAGCCTATGTGAACTGATGAACACAGAACGTTAGGCAAACCTGAATAAAAATACGTGGTAGTTTTGAAAAGAGGTGCACTGATCAGGATTTTCCTGGCTGACTGTGTTTAAGATGGAGTCAAAATCCATCATAATGTTTTAGTTTTGGCTCTGACTGACTCCTCCCCGTGTGGGCCTGTACACCTGTATGTGTTTGGATGCGTGTTGCGCTGTGGATGCGTGTCGTTCCGTTTGCGTGAAGCGAGTGAATGTTAAAGTGTGTTGAGTGAAGATGGAGACACACTGGACAGAAAAAGCTACTTTTAAAAACTAAACCTGTGTAGATCCGCTCTGATCCACGTGAACGTTTTGTTACTCTGTTAATTTTATTACAACTCGTCGATGTTGAGCTTCCTGCCAGCCGCAGTGCCCACTCTTTCACTGCCCACTTTTAACCACACGGGGGCGCTTCAGCTTCTCTGAAACTCCACAGAACCAAGAATCCACTGTGACAAAGAGCACAAATTAGAGCCATTTCTTCCAAAAGCCCCCTTAAGATGCGACTATATTCATATCTGTGTTTTAATCTGGGACTTGTGCTCGTAGGATTTAGGTTGATTTGTCTGAGATGCATTTTCTCACCTAGCATTTCACTGATTATGGCTATAAAAAAATTAGATTTTCTTGAAGGAATTCAGACCCGTAAAGCACAGATGATACAAAAAAACCTGATAATCCCATGAAAGGAAAGGTGGTGGGGTTTTTTTGTGTGTAAATAGTTACCATCAGAATTGTCCAGTTAAATAAGTTTGTGTTTTCCTAAAATAAAAACACACCCAGGATGCGATAGGAAAGGTTGCTCCCTGATGCCCAGTGTATGTTCTCTGACTTGCATGTTGTTGTTTTCACTGCTGGTTTTGTTACAGAACCGAAGGTATCAGCCCAGAGGCCTTACAACTCGTCATTGTGGTCCGAATCCCTTTAGCTGTCCCTGCTTGGCTACGTTCTGCATCTTCCAGTCTCTGAAGGTCTTTTTCAGTTTGAGATCTGGCATGAATTATCACAGAGTGGGATTTAAAAGGGATATTTTAGTATTTTCAGCCACAGAATGCACATGGAGCTTGGGAAGCAGCGTACTTACTTTCAGTTTGTTCTGGTGTCATAAACCGCTACACTGCGACGAAGCTTCTTGTTATCGCTGTCCAGCAGAGTCACGTCGAAGCCTCCTGATGTTTTATCAACCGATGCAGCAGTGTACATATCCACTTTTTTTTTTTTTTATTAAAAAAACATGATATGCTTCTGCTCTGATAGACTGTTCAGCTCCACATTAGGCATTGCTCCCATACTGTGTTTGATCAGATGTTCCTTTAAACTTTGTTCAAAATAAAGCTTCACTGAAACTAGATTTTGTCAAGTGATTCTTAAAATGTGAATTTGTTTTTGTCTGTAAAAAGAAAATTAAATCATCTATGAAGCTGGGCAGAGAGAAAGATAATAATTCACTATGATTTAGCTAATTTTGAATGGTTATATAGTCATCAATAAATCAGAATAATCAAAAGTTTTACTTATTACTCATTACACGCAGGATATATTTCATGGGTTTATTTCTGTTATTTTTGATTATTACTTGAGTAGCGCAGTATTTAAATTAATCCATCTTCCCATGTTGAAGAAAAGAAACCCCATATTATCACGCTGCCTCTACCATGCTTCACTGTTGGGATGGTTTTATTCTTCGAAGAACAAACAGAAGAGTAGTGGTAAAAAAAATTATTGTTCTCTTGGTTATTAATGCACATTTTATCTGTCCTACTGATTGCTTTTTGTTGTTTTTAAAAACTTGCTTGAAATAAATAAAGTAAAAATGAACAAAAGAAGAAAAGCCCTGACACCATTTTAATACCACCAACATTATGTACTATAACTGTTTCAGCTAAACAAACTCCCAACACATGAAATGCATTTGAAAAGAGTTTTATTAACTATTCTTTTCAGATTTTACAAAAATATGACAAAATAAATTAACAGAAATAAATAATCCCATTTCCCAGTATTTTTCTTTAAAAGACCGTTTTGTTTTTTTCTCTTTTGTACATTGGAAGAGCGTTTGATGTCGTGTCAGTGAGGCTGTGATGAAAACATCTGGTTTTTGAGGTTAAGGTCGGGTTTTAATGAAGCTGTGTTGAGAAGCTCACCCGTTCACATCCGACTCCAATTCCAGAAGGTGAAGCGTTTGATAAATCCGCTCGGTTCAATCGCACTGATTTCCTGTTAAAGAGGAAGAGGCTTCCTTTGAGGGACATCACAGCTCGACTCGATCAAAGCCAGCTTCTGTGACAGAGGCTTATCAAAATCCCTCATCTGTTCAAAATTTCCAGCTGCCTTGAGTTTGGGATGAAGAGAAATTATTTTGATGTTTGCTGCTTGAACAGGAAAAGGTGGAACTGTACATAAAAACTTAACAGCTTCAGCAGACAGCCCGATCCCAGCGTTCTGCTGAAACACTTGTACAGATGATGATGACGGAGGGACTCGAATGCATCATGATGTTCTTCATCCCTGAAATGCAAATGCAGCAAACTGGGAGGATTTTTAAAAAATAAGACTGAGCTGAGCTACATTGTGACATCTACGTCTTGTTTATGTTGTTCCACCGATTCCCTTTAATAATTCACATCCCAGCCTTTTAACAACACACACAAAGACAATATATTCCTCTCATCCCGGGAATTTCTATTTTACATTTATAACAAACGGCGTCCAGAGAAGTTAAAGAGAACACGCTTATACTGATGCTGCAACATGGTTTACGCTCTTGTGTTTTTTTTTCTGTATTGCATTAAATCTTTTTTTATTTCTTCATTTCAAATTGGCCTGACAAGGCAGAGGCAACAATAAACGACATTATTTCAACAGATTCAGTGAAGATTCTCCATAAATAAACAAAGAAAAGAGAACTGAAGACAGGCGGATATAGATGTGCTGCTCAATGTCGATCTACAGTATCTGCTTCCGCTCAGTGTTATTGCCAGAGTCCTTGTCGGAGGTGAAAGTGTGTAAATGCATAGTTAATGTTTCCATCTGTTAACCCACAGGACAGTTCTGTGGCCTCTGAAACATGTGAAATGTGTGTTTTACAGTGTAATGACACCACCAAGCATTTCCACCTAAACCTGTGCCGCTGCTGCTGCATCCTGATGCCCACAGAATGGTTTTATGGGTAAATGTTTATTTTTATAGACTTGTACCACCTTCTGGAAACCATGAAATAATGACTTACTGTTTGCATGATGATGAGTTTACATAAAGTTAACTGAGCAGATTATAAAAATGATAATAGAGCAGTTTTCAAAAGCTGTCTTAAAAGCCTTTTTTCAAATTTTAGGGTTCTGTAAACAAAATAAATTGCCAACTAAACCAACTGAGGCATAACACTCCAACAAGATCAGGGAATGCGTCTTTACTTTTTTGTTTTAACAATTTTCTCCTTTTTCTCTTTAGCGTCTAAATCTGTTGTAGAATACTGTACGTCTCAAATTAAAAACCATAACCTGAAAAATACTACATGTAGCTGTAAAAGATGCTAATAATGAAGTGAATGGAAAAGACTAGTACTGTAAAAACAAAATGCATGGTCTGTGTTTAGCAATCAGAACTGCTAAGAGCAAAGATATAATAAAACATCTCCCTCCACACTTATTGGCAATATCTAAAAAAGCCTTAAAATAAATACATTTATCTTTTATTGCAGTAGTTTACTGAGAGAAATACTGAAATCTCACTGATAGACATCAGTAATAAAACATGAATGATTTCTACTTTGTAGTTTTTAATGTTTTTGGTTTTGGACTTTTGTTTCCTTGGGGTATTAATATGGTGTGACACAAAGATATTTTTCTCTTAGCTGATGGAGTTTCCAAGTTAACCTTGCCACTGTTCAAAGTGACGACGAAGGCAATGAAAGCAAAAATAAATAAATAAAAATATCCAGAGGTCATTTAGAAAACTGCGTCTTACGATCATCAAGTCTAAATACAGAAATTATGGAGGAAAAAATACATTTCCTGTCTTTTTAGCCTTTTTGGCAGCAAATATTCTAGTTCTAGTTCTTGAAACAAAGAATGAATACTTTAGATACAGTGGATCTGTAATGCTGTGGGTCTGTTTTACATCTAGTAGCCTTGCAAACTTTGCTATTTTGTATCATGAACATTAAAATACGACAAACGTATGATTTCTGCAGGGAACTGGACGTGTCAGTCAGAGGACGACCTACTGTAAGTGCTACTGAAAGCCTGCAGAGGGCGATGAGGAGATGAAAACGTTTTCTTCTTCAATGGAAATATCTAAGATTAGTTCTTTTTTTCCTATAGCTTTTACTGTGGGATTATTCATCTTTTGGAAAAGATTAATTAATTTAAAAGCTTCATCACATCAGGACAGAATAAGTGTGGAGGGAGCAGTGGATACTAAAAAACAAAACGTTTTTGTGTAACATACTGTAATGCATCAGGCTGGAATCAAGCTTCTCGTTGGGGTTAAGTGAAACTTTCTTCTCTTTACCTCCACACACACTCCAGTCTGACTGGAGCGCCATCTGTGTTTACTCGGCTCGCTTCAGGCATCATCCATGCTCCACTTTCCCAAACATCACCTTCAGCCGCTGCCTCTAAATTTCTCCTGAGGAAAATGTCGGTACGGATAATTTGACTTACTAAGCTCTTTACTTTGTGATTTTTTTAATCTGTTACAGGAAGGGAAGGAAACTGTACGCTCAGACATCACCTCTGCTTTCAAAATAAAGCTGGTGATTTATGCTGCGACTGCTGAGAATCATTAAAACACTCACTGATATTGCTTTTCCATTTATCCGTTTCATTACAAAAGAGAAGGGCCCAAAACAATAAACACAATAAAAAAAAGAAATATAATATATTTACTTGTGTTGGGAAGGATGAAGTCTGGAAATCTTTCCATGTTTGTTTTTGACCCCTATCCTTTCACAACTGGCTTTTTATTTGTTTATTTTTTCACATGAGGCCACCAAGATGCTTACAATTTCTGACTAAAGGAAATCAGGAAACATAGCTCTCTGCTTTAAAGGCTTAAAATAGTCGAAACGCAGCTCATGCATTTCTTTACGTATTGCAGACAAGGAAGAATTTTGAGTGAGTGTGTTTTAGTCGGTCATGGCAGAAGGACTTGCGTCTGTCGCACAAAGCCAGATTATTTTTGTCTCTCTGCAAGAAACCTGACCGGAACAACAATCATCTTCCACCGGATTCATCTTTTCCTGTTTGCTTCCCTCTGCACAAACAGCAACTTTTCGGGCCTTTTCTCACAGTAAAGCACATCAACTCCGGCTGATATGTAGTTTTTCTTCTCCGGAGCTGCTAGATTTTCGAACTGGCTGGGTCCAAGTCTGCAGCATGTCCGTTCTCAGATCCCTCCCCTGGAGGAGAAGGGATCTCGTCGGGGACACCGTTCAAGTCGGAGCGGGAGGCTTGTCTTTCTGACGACGATCCGTCTCCAGGTCTGGGCAGCGGAGCCCCGTTCACACACGCTCCCCCTTCGGATTTCCCAAAATTAAACAGTTTTCCAGGGTTGAAGGCCTTACTGGGTGACTGAGAACGCTCCTGAGAGCTGCTACCTGATGATGATGAGGATGATGCTGCGGTTGTGTTGGTGCTGGCTGCAGCAGCCGCGGCTGCAGCAGCGGCGGCTCCTTCCTTCTTGTTCTCGGGTGACTTGAGGAACTTGAAGCTGAGGAACCCGGGGAGTTTGGGCTCGCTGCTGGTGGGCGACTGTGGGGAGCGCGCGCCGCTGGAGGAGAACTTACTCTGCAGCGGGATGATCTGCTTCAGCTTCATCACGTTGTTGTTGCCCAGCAGGGAGCTGGGCCTCTTGGGTTTGTCGGAACCGCTGGCCCCGCCTCCTCCTCCACCGCCGCCTCCGGAGCGAGATTTGCTCCCGTGATTTTTGTCATGGTGGTGATCCCCACTCGGGTCACCTTTGCTATCATCCCGCTCCCTCTCCCTGCGCGCCATATGCTCCGCCTGCCTCTGCCGCTCCTCTTCCTCCCTCTTCCTCCTCTGCAGCTGCTGGTAATGCTGCTGCGCCTGCCGCTCATGCTTCTGCAATAAAGAGAGAAAATGAAAATCACATTAGGTGTTTACTCAGATCAGCACTAACTAACGCTCTGTTCATATTACGTCTGCAGTGCAGCTGTAAACCTTTTCGCTTTCAAAAGTTTGAATAAATCAGGTGTAAAATAAACATTTTCCCTCCACATATTGCCAAAGCACTGGAGTGGAGATGCTAGATGGACCTCAACAACCCCAACAAATTGCTTCCTCCTTTACCTTAAAAGCCTCCCTCCGCTGGTAATCCAGTTTCGCCATT